CCAAACGCGACGACGGCGCCGGGCGCATTTCCGCGACAACGAGCCGCGGAGAAAATTACGGTCGACGCGGCCGTCGGCTCTCTGCGCGCGACCGCCGCGCCGTTACACCGTACGGACGCACGAGCACGAGCGTGAGCGACAAGAAGCGAAAGAAGCGAAAGAACAAGAAGAAGAAGAAGAAGAAGAAGAAGAAGAAGAAGAAGAAGAAGAGAAAGAACAAGGCGGGGGAGGGGGGAAACGAGCGCGTAATTTACGAAACAATATTTATCGTACGCGCGCGCATTTCGCATTGGGCGGGCGCGCGGACATTTTCACGTTTTCCCCGCTCCGGACGAAACCGCCGGCCGCGAGAGTACGGTGCCGCGCGCGCGAGTGTAGGTACGTTCGAGGTGTACCGCCGTACCCGTGCACGTGATGTACGCGATGACACACGCGCTCTCGCGCCAATTTTGTATTATCACCGGCACACGCGCGGTCCGGTGCCTACGCCCGGCGGAGTGGTGCGCGCTCCGCGTGTCCGCCCGTATTATAATCGCAATAACGTCGCTGCGACACGACTCGCGCGCGCGCGTGTACGAGTATTATTATAATAACGCCGAGCGGGAACCAGTTCGGACCCGGATCCCGCACGTGACGTAGAGGAGAAAAAAAAAAACGCGGAAAAAAAAAACACCGTAAAACCCGACCGCTCGCGCGCGCGCGCCAGAGTACGCACGCGACGACGCGCGTTTTTTACCGCGCGGAGGCGCCGCAGACGTCCGCGCGCGCCCGAGACCTACTTCGGGCCGGGCGGTGGCGGCGTCGGCGCGCAGCATCCCGATCGCGAACGTTCACTCGTGCCGTCGTCGGCTGTGAACAGCAAACACGCGCGGTGAACTCGGTGGCGCGGCCGCCGTCGCGGGCCGAAGCGGGCCAGCGCCCCGGGGCCCCGGAGCTCGGACGGGGGCAGTGGGGGGTGGGGGAGGAGGGGAGGGCTCGGGCAATTATTTCCGGACGTTACTTCCTACGACGGACATTGCGAACGTCGACGTAACACAAACGGACGTTTTAAATCTTGCGCGGCAATCCATCGTTTCCGCCGAAACGAAAAAGGTTCGGTTTTCGGGGTTTTTTTTTTTTTTTTTTAAATTTCTACTTATATTGTTGAGACGGAGTTTCATTCAACATCCCCCGGTTTAAATCCGAGATTCCGGATAAACCGTTTCGATGTCGGTATAGAGATAGACTAGAGCACGACCTAGCGCGTATTAATTCCTACCCATTATAAATAAATATTAGTCAATCTAATCCGCATCGTGTGTACACAGTGCGCGTATTGATAGATGAATACGAAAACAAAGCGATTTCGACAATGACATTTCTAAAAAAAAGTACGCAACAATTATTGAAAATAATCTAAATATCGTAACATAAAATCAATTATAATCAATTCAATTCAAATTTTTGAACGTAATCCGAAAACGAAGTCGAAAAATTCTCGGGGGGGTCGATGAGATCCATGCCCTCGTGGTGGCCCCCGGGCAACTTCTAATGGATCTCAAACTATAATATTTCAAGTGAAAACGTACAATATAAACACTAAACGACCAATAGTCACACAAAAGTCAAGTCTCCCCGTGTATTGTGTTTACGCACCGGTGCTGCTCGGCATACACCGATAACACTATCTATATGCCGTATATGTACACATTAGGGGTTCTTAAACTCCGCATCAATAATATAGATAGAAATGCATTTGGCAGTAACGAAAATCGAACCATTTCCGTTTCGGCGGAAACGACCGACGCCCCACTACCAAAACCGTTTGGATCCCGTTTTCGTTGTATTATCGTTATTATCGTTATCGTAAGCCGTAAAATAATTACGGACGTATCCGAAAATCGGTTCCCGTTTGAAAAAGGTGTTTTACGGAGGCTAGCAAAATTTTTATATAAAGGTCAGTCTACTGACTACCCGTATTTCTAAATTGATTTTTGACATTTTTCTACACAATTGTAATGGACGTCGCCGACTAATGAAGCGAGGAACACCGAGTTAAAAACTAAAATATTCAAGACGCCCGCTCTCCCGCGATGTCCACTCCGAATGACGCCTACGCTCGGACGTGTTCAAAATATTGTTTTCTCGGGCGTCCTTTTGATTTCGTCCCGGTAACTCTTCATTTAAAGAGGTTATGCAATCGTTTTATCGGACGACGCTTCCAATCAACTGTGCTGTCCTCGATTCAACCGCCCTTATCGGCTGTCGTTTTTCCAGCACTTCTTCGACCACCGACTAACCGCTTTTCTTGTCTTTGCCAATTTCGTTCCACATCCACGTCTCCGCGGCCTCCAGTTAGCCGCTGCCTTTCTTGTTCGTTGTCCGCGTTTCGCTGTCTGGTGTGTCAACATCGCACTCCGAACGGACGCGTCCTAATGCGTTTTGCGCGTGTACGCCGTATTGCCGGAGGTGCTGCATTGGCGAGAGAAGACGGTCCGTCTTTCGGAACGCTAGCCCGCGTTGCTAACGCTTGCTTTTTTTTTTTTGTCCGGCGCCTGCGGGCGTTGATTTATCACCGGCGGCGACAAAGCGCCTCCCAAGGTAGCAGAACTGTTCCGGCGTGTGCACATTATAAACGACCGTCGGAATAATTTCGTCCGTTACCGTAATCGCCGAACGTCTCGGCGTTCGAAACACCGGCGTCCTGACATCATTTCGGCCGTACACAACAAACGCACGTACGCAGTCTACGCACAAATAATAATACGTAATTATTATTTATACGATATTATAATATGTATGGACGCTAATTTTACAACGTTTATTCTCCGTAGGTATACCGTGAGTAATGTGTTTACGCGTGCCCGGCGCTGACCACAATAAGACGCGCAGTATTATATTCAATCGTTTTTATTCAATTTTTATACCTATAGAGGTAGTTTAATAAATCACGAAAAAAAAAAAAAAAAAAAATTTTATTTTATTTTTTTTATTATATTTACTTTTAGGTCCATTATACGTTATCGAAAGAAAAAAAAAAAAAGAAAAAATATGGGGTATATACGAGTGTATAATATAAAATTCATAAATGTACTATTATATTTGCGTGTCTTGCGGAATCCTTATAAGGAAATGTTAAAACTCTAGCTGTTTGACCATATGCATTATTTCAGTGCACACGTGTCATCGCGGCACAAGTTCTTCTCGTAAATTATCCAATAAAAAAAAAAAAAAAAAAAAAAAAATTTAAATAATAATAATCGTATACATTACGCGCAAGTACTTAAAAGTGTTGGCTATATCGCGATTGTCGTTATTATACGACCACCTCTATATTATAATGTCGTATACCTATATGCGGTGTTAGTGCTAAAGGATTTTCGAGTTATTTCCGTTCGTAAGTTGTACTACGCAGTCTTGTTGAGTGTATCTGTATTTAAATATTTTGTAAACGCTTTTTGACGGATGTGTTTTGAATACTTTAAAAAGGAATTTTTTTTTTTTTTATCGTATTTATATTTCGCAATAAAAAAATTAGGCACTTATGATCGTGTTACCGTACCCAATATACACTACGATATGTTTGTGTTTTACGATTTTTAAATTCGAATTGTTTTTCGAAAAATATTTTATAACGGTTCTTAGACTTTGTCATACTGTTTCTTTGAAATGCGTTGTTATAACTCGATAACTCATTATCCAGCTAAAGTTCTACCCGAGCTCATTTACTAAAATGCAATTAAAATACCATGCTAATGTGCAACATTTGTAATTCTCGGAACTTTTAAAATTAAATATTCGTAAATAAATAGTTTTATTTAATAATTGTAAAATTAATTATACAATTGTACGAAACAGACTCGGGAGAATAGTTAGTACACGCAATTTCTTTGTAAAAATTTTAATTCGGAATAATGGAACGACAGCGCATTGCCGCGTAATGAAATGTAACGCGCTACTATAGAACGGTAGCAACTCGAACATATTACTACATCGAAATATTTCGAAAAACCACGACTTGTCACTTGCAAGATCCGACGCGGAAAATCGGTAATATTTTACACTACTTGCCGTTATGTATATCATATTAAAAAAGTGGCGCGACCTATCAATATTTATTCTATATTTTTCACAATGACGATACTCCTGACGATCATTGTCATTTATTTTCGTATCACAATAATAAGATTCGGGATATCAAGGCCGTAGCCAGAAGGGGGTTTCAGGGTTCAGATACCCCCGGAATTTTTTCTTAAAAAAAAAATTGAACGAATTACGTTTGAAACTTGTATACGATTAAAGTATGATAAATCATAACCAAAGTGGAAATATAAGATAGTGCAGTTATCGAATTTTTAAAAAAAAAAAAAATGTCGTGTTCATGATTTAAATAACAGTTCTATAATTTCATATTTTATACACTAACCCCCCCCCCCAAAAAAAAATAAAAAATATGGCCTTGTGGGTGATCAATTATAGAATCAACGCGATACCTCACTTATGTCTCCCGTTAATTTTCTCACTGAATTTAAAAAATCGATCGGAAATAACACACTGTGCTCATTTAATGCGTACCGAAGAAAATCAGAACTTTTATACACTGCAATACCTACACAGAAGACGTTATAGTTCAAGTCTATGCGAACGGCCGTCACAAAACGCGTCGAATCTACCGAAGTCGTATAATGTCAAACGCGGTTTCGCTGTTTAAAAAACCACAGTTTACGACCGCGACCCGGCCCAATTTCGATTGGCACTAGAGTTTTACGAACAGAAGAGTTTAGAGTCGAGCGCGCGCGTGTGTGTGTGTGTGTGCGCGCGCGTGTGCGTATTTTTATAATACGAATACGCACATATGAACTCTAAACAGGCGAAACGCATTTATAATACGAGTGTTAACGCGCGTACGGTTTTCACGGTTATTAAAGAGCGGCGGCCATGTGGCCGCGAGCCGCGCAAACGGCGGTACCTATCGGTCTGCAATATCAATTTACAGGCCGCGCAGCGAAGGGGGGGGGGAAATGCGAATCGCGTCGGCGGCGGGTATCGTAAACTCGATCGGTTTATTGATCCGTCCGTACCGTTTTCGCGAACCGTGTTCCATTAGTTCCAAACGGTTATACGCGTTTGCGTGCGTTTGTATATATTACACGTACGTACGTGCACGCGCGCGTACGCCGAAACGGCGAACTGGCCTCCGCTCCCGCTGCCCCTTGGCCCGCCGTCCGCGCCGTCTACGTACGGACGCCAGACGCGTCGTGCGGACCGACTCGAAAACGTTTCTAATCGGACTTCGGAAACACGAAATTAATTCGGTCGTGAACCGCCGAGGGTGCGCGCGCGAAACCAATACCCCGTACGAGTGCCGTACACGACAATAATAATACGAGTAACAGTTGTCAAACAGTAACGGTGGCGCGCCGTCGAAAACCGCGCGCGTAACAGAAATAACATAACGGATTCGCGACGTTATTTCTCGTGCGCGCGCGATATGCTGTCCGACAACGTTACATTTCCCACAAGTCGCCGAGCATACGTACGCGCGCGAGCATTGTCACGGAAAGAAGAGACGCCCGAAGGAGACGCCCGCGGGCGCGCGTCACACGACGGACGGCTGACCGCGATCCGTTTTCGGGGGACGGACGGGGCAGGAGGGGGTGTTGGATTCAAAACGAGTTTTCCGACAGGATTCTCGGGTGACAAAACACCGAACGTTATACGTGACGTGCGCGGCACACGCGTATTGAAAATTCCCGCAAAGTCCGTAATAAAAGTCGCGGTGCGAAAAACGCTGTGCGACGGGAAATACGTGAGAAAAATCTCGAATTTCAGGGAGGCTGTGACTTCCACTGCTTTGTCCACTTTAACTTACCGGTTGCGCCACCACATCTGAACGGTACGCGAACTGGATCTAAACTGTAAGCTATATTTTTCTAACAATGATTGTTGTCTACGTAGCGGTGAGTTTCATTTACATCTGTGCGCAACGTTTAATCATCGCTAACGAAAAACGATTCTGAACGCAACTCGGTCAATAGTATTGTTTTTTCAACAATGCGCGTTTTTACAACGATTGTTTAAAAAAGATTGAAAGATTAAAATAAAAAAAAAAAAAACTGAACATAACAAAAAATTGAGTAATAACAGTTGCAAATGACATCCTTATTTTTAATGTTTTTTAACATAAATAACCATTTTTTCCTTATTTTCGTAAACATCTAATGAGAATTCAAAAAAAAAAAAAAAAAATGACCTTTCTAAAGTACCGACTACTATAAACGAATGCACGAAACGAAACAAAACAGGTCTCTGTCATGTTTTGATTGGAGCGAGATTTCTAGTAAAATTTTTGTACACAGTATACATTATATAAACGAAAAATAAACATGATTTTAAAACCAATACATTTCTCGTTTCGCTCTGAATCTAAAAAAAAAAAAAAATGTGCAGCGTACGACTGAAAATTCTCCGATAGTAGAAAAACAAAAAAAAAAAATAAATGTTAAATTAAAACTTGTTCTACAATATACGCACTACCCAAACACTGAATTGTAATTACAATTTATACAATTTATAACACATACGATTAGTTGTATAGTTATATTATATTTTTAAATTGTTTAAACTTATCGAATATGACGCTACAAAATTATAATTACACACACGTAAATTATAAACACGTTATATTTTTTTTTTTTTTTTTTATAGAAACGGTGAACACTAATTATGTAAATTAATATCAACGGACAATTAATAATATGGGTTATAGAACGGAAACGCGGTGAATTGGATAAGTAATAATAATAATTTGTTATTAGACGTCCGCGCTGTACAAATGTACGGTGTATGTTATGTAGAGTTGGTATGCGCGCATAAATTTGATTTCCGGAAGGAAATCATTTTTAGCCGGCGCATTCGGCATTGGGAATGTAATTTTTATTTTTTTATTTTCGTACTAGTTTTTTTTTTTTTTTGATAATTGGGTAATTTATTTGAATTCTCGTTAAAAATCGCGAGAACACGAATAATTGCAATTTATTTTGTATTTACAGATTAATTGAATTTAAATCGCGTTCGTTTAACATGACTATAATTCAATAACCCAACTCGTTTGCAATGATTTATCGTTATGTTCACATATAAATTTAATCAATTTATGTACAGGCTGTCCTACGAAGATATACCCTTTGAATATCTCCGGAGATAATATAGATAATCGAATTCTGTTTTTTTTTTCTACTCACAGGGACGAGAAAAATTTTAATTATCACACATTTATATCCGGTTAATAATTTCTAAGTAACAGCCGTTTTAAATTCTACTAATCCGTGTTAAAACCGATGTTATCACGTAACGCGCGGTTAGGTTATTCTCTAGATAACATCGGTTTTCACACGGATTAGTAGAATTTAAAACGGCTTTTACTTGGATTATTACTAAACTATTCATCGGATATAAATGTGTGATACATTAAAATTTTTAGAAAAATAAACTCTTTAGAATATCGATCTTAGAACTTTCAGAAAATAGTATAACATAAAGTTCATTTTTTTTTTTACTAAAAAAATTAATTTGAAAATAAATACTTATATTCCTCATCCCTGTGAGTAATATACATAAATCGGAATTTGATTATCCTTATTATATCCAGATATATTCAAGGGGTATTTTTCGTGGGAAAGCCTGTATAATATCCTATCCTATATTCCCAACTTCCCAAGTATACAACAGCGAATCCGTGAATTGGCATTCATGGACCATGGCGCAGAGTAGGTATATGCCCGGCTTATTTATTATGTAGTAATTATTTTTTTAGCGATTAAGACCCGCGGTTTATACAAAATATACTGAAACACTTTTTTACTCAATTTACTTTTCAGTTAGATTTATTATTAATATTAATGGGTTTTTCGTCCGATTCTCATTTTTCGATGTACCTGCGTTGGAACATACAAGTTAATAACACCTACCTTTTGCAAAAAACACAACTAGTTTACCGTACCATAATAAAAAAAAAATTTTACAATTTGTTTAGGTCACTATAGTCATTAGACTCGAATCATTACAATATGGTTTATATAATATTACGAGTATTCATTCATTATACTAAGCACGGGAAGAAGGGAAGATTGAAAAAAGAGTTGGACAGAGGTGTGATTTATCGCCAACACTATTTAATTTATATAGTGACTAAAAAAATTAAGGGAAGAAGAGGAATCAAAATTAATAGTATGCTCTTACAACTGTTGCGTTTCATATATAGCAATGATAGCGAAAAATGAAGAAAAATTAAACAACATTAATGAATAAAAATTAATGAAAGCTGTAAAGAGTATTAATTGAAAATCAATAAGATTAAATCAAAATACTAACATACAACGAATTCAATATTAAATTCGACCATAATAATAAAAAATGAGAAGTTGAAAAATTAACAATGTTATTTGTATTTAGGAAGTAAAACAAAATATTATGATGGAAATAGTGAAACAGATATAAAGAGCAGAATAGCAGAGGAAAAACAAGGTTTCTACAAGAAGACAAACCTATTCATGTTGGGCAACAATAATTATAGAGGGGAAAGATAAAGGGAAAAGCAGGATGAGATAGACCGAGAACTACGTTTATGAAACAGATCATAGAACACAAAAGAAGAACTGAAAGTAGCTGTGATGGATAGGGACGAATGGAGGTCCATCGAACTCTAAGAACTAAAAAAAAATATTTGAATGTCGGGTATCAAGTATTTTATAATCATCGGAATATTAGGTTTCGTTTCATTTTTTTGCGAGTGTTAAATCACAAAATATATTATAAATATAAAGTAACAAACTCCCAGAGATGAGTTTTAAAATACACACGATACTATTATCTATTTAGTAAAATAAAAAACAAAATTAGTCGAATCAATTTTTGTTTTCAATAAATTAAAATAATTATAAGGTTCGATTCAGTTTTGGTGAATTGTGAAAGTGTGTTAAATCTATGGGAAACTAATTTCGATTGGGTAGTAATTGCTGGACTAGTACACAAATATCAACCTTATGTAAGTACCTATAAAAATAATTTCGCAAACATTAATCAATATTCAAACATCATTGTTTAAGTATAGTTTTGATGGATAATTAGGATAGCCTAGATTTTTGGATGGATTACAACAGTGAATGTAAATCAATATTTATATTTTTTTAAAAAAAAGCGAACCACAAATCTACAAAGATAAATAATAATTCAATTAATCAACATTTTAAAATCGCCTATATTCTATAGGATTATTATTCTGAATGTTCGAGTAATACCTATACATCAACAAAATTTACTTTTTGTCAAAAATGTAATTGATGTAAATTGTTTCATATACCGAAGAATAATTTAAAAATGTTAACCAAGTGAATTTTTTGGTTAGGTAATAGTTGTATGCATACGGTTTTCGGAGTTTTGTCACGATCAAAACACATATTTGATCACAGCTTAATAGAAAAAGTGTTGCCAGCATCCACCTTTTTATAATATTAATATGCTCAGTCTCTAAAAGAAAAACACAAGTGTAAACAGGGATGAACTTTTTTTTTTTTTACATTTTTTTGCTCGGCACTGGGTGGATACTTTTGTTGACTTTACGGGCTGTCGAAATTTCTCTGTGCGCCACTGATTGCAAATATACATAATATTGTGGACTATAACTTTGGTTATTACGTTCGTGAATACGCGGATCAAGTTTCTAAATTGTATACATTTTAATTTTAAAAATCCCCGCGATATTATTCGTAAAAATTCGACCGGCATTCGAACCGACGGCCGTAAATATTCTCACTATAAATATTCAACTTACCGAAAATGCGGTTCCTTCCTTGGTTTTTATTTTTTTTTTAAACATTTTATTACATTCGTACGGCGGCGCAAACGAGTCGGTACGCCTACGCCGTTGTAAATATACATGTATAAACGTTTTAAAATTGTAGGCAGTTAAACGGTAATAAAAATAATAATTTATTTTGATTCTTAAACGTATTATATTATATTAATTTGACATTTATTACACACGCAGTGTTGTAATTAATGCCGTGAATATTATTATTATTATTATTATTATACGAGATGAAAAAACCGATAAAACATAATTTGTTTTTTATATGTAAGCTGCTGCGCGTTGGATCTTTGTGTGTATTAATTACCTTTGCACGGACGTTAAACAAAATCAAAAAAAAAAAAAAAACCGTCAACAAACAAATAAACAAATACAATATTGTTAACGTGTCGGCGTGTACGGTCGTGTTTGCGACTCGTCGCTTTAATTTATCGATAAAACGGTGTCCGAGACGAAAAACAAAAGCCACTGCAGTATACTTCAGTATTATACAATACGAAAGCGACGGGGCCGAGGGATTTTCACGCGCACAGTTGGGTAATCCGAATACATTGATCGATCCGTTAATTCTGCGCGATGTCAACGAGCGGGGGAAATCGGAGAGACACAATATCTCACCGTTGAACTTTCTTAAAAATTACGAAACGTTTGTACGAAATCTATTTCAATTCGAATTTCTTTACTATCTAGCCGACAGTTTTAAATATCCATTGGCAGCAGTTAATGTTTGTGTCGAAAAAAACTGCGAACGTTCAAAACGAAACGTATCCGAACTGCGCTACGCAGGAGGTTCGATTATAACAGGGTCGCGAAATTATTCAATACTTGTAAAGCGAATAATTATTTACCCGTACCTGTACGGACAGACGAGCGTAGCGCAGAGTGTATTGGTTTTACAATCTCGCAATTGTTTTGTGAACGATATTTTTAACCGTATTCATTACTCGTCCACAATATTTCTACTGCAGTGCAAATATCGTAGTGATTCTCAGTACCGCGGAAAATGTTGCAACAAAACTACAATG